CTTGCTGAGAACGAACCTGTCCAGTTTCTGACGCGGCTGCGAATGAACCTCCCTTGTTTCTGATCTTGCTGAGAACGAACCTGTCCAGTTTCTGACCTTGCTGAGAACGAACCTGTCCAGTTTCTGCATGGCTGAGAACGAACCTGTCCAGTTTCTGACGTGGCTGAGAACGAACCTGTCCAGTTTCTGACGTGGCTGCGAATGAACCTCCCTTGTTTCTGACGCGGCTGCGAATGAACCTCCCTTGTTTCTGATCTTGCTGAGAACGAACCTGTCCAGTTTCTGACCTTGCTGCGAACGAACCTCCCTTGTTTCTGATCTGGCTGCGAACGAACCTCCCTTGTTTCTGATCTGGCTGCGAATGAACCTCCCTTGTTTCTGACGCGGCTGCGAATGAACCTCCCTTGTTTCTGATCTTGCTTCGCAGAGGTAAAGGAGTATGAGCCTCCGTTTGGCTCCAAGGTGCGGGAGCACCCCTGCGTGGAAAGCATGAAAGACAACGTCCTGCGTGACAGAGGCCGCCCAGAGATCCCCAGCGGCTGGCTGAACCACCAGGTGAGATTCTGGGCCTGGCAAAGATGGCGAACCAGGCCCCTGCATCAGCCAGGTCACAGTACTCCTCTGTTGCATTGTTATGGCAACAAAACGACATGCTTCATTACCAGGCCGAAAATGTGAATTGAAACATGTATGCAATGATCTTAATGATCGTTGTTACTAATTATTTTTATTCCTATTACAACCGATAATAGTATCGATTAGAAAAACATTTCTTTTTTGGCTCTTCATGCATTGCCGTTCCAGTATGTACAGTGCGATGGGGCTCACGGGGGTACTCCCTTCTCTTCCTGTGCAGGGCGTGCAGCTGGTGTGTGCCACCATCAACGAGTGCTGGGACCACGACCCAGAGGCTCGTCTGACTGCCCAGTGTGTCGCCGAGCGCTTCACCGAGATGGACCACATGGACAAACTGTCCGGGAGGAGCTGCTCCGAGGAGAAAATCCCAGAGGACTGTTCCGTGAGCGACGGGAAGTAGGAGCTCCAAACGGGTCGGCCTCGTCGGGGGGGCTGGTGGAAATTTAAGAGGGGAATACAAAGGTCCAATGGAGCAGCTCAGCTTGGGACTTCAGGCTTCATTTCTGGGGGAAAACCGGAATCTTCCTGTCCCGCTTCCTGGTTTTCTGAAGCTGTGGTGTGTAGCCAGGGCAGCTGTGTCATTCTGTTGAGGTAATCGGGAAGGAAGGAACTTACAAAAATGGGAGATCTTCATTTATTTTTTTGTAACCATCGGCGCTCTCCGAAAAGGAGCAGAACATTTGCAGGACTAAAGAAATAAGCTTTCATTATAACCTTTGACGTTTGCACTTTATAAATGCATATCCATACCAGATTATGTTTTATATTCATTATAAGAATATACGTTATGTATTAAGGGTTACCTTTACCACTTCAGGAACATCCAACACAAGCAGATAAGGTATGTCACTCTTCTGCTGTTGATAACCTTGCCCTTTTCTAATAGGGCATTTTTATAGCATAATAATCGTGGTAATATAGGGAAGAATATATTTTTTTAAATGTGCTCTTTAGCGATGCCTGATCTGCTTAAAAGGAAGTCGTACCAGGAAGAAATTGTCTTTTTGATCTAAGAAGACTGTTTTTGGCTTGCTTGGTGAAGATCAGTAGGAACAACAGACATCCCGAAGAAAACAAACTGTGCAATCCAACACCAAAAAGGGAAAGGAAGAATCCTTCACAAAGTATTGTGAACTGAACTGCAAACTTGTTTAAGAGGATTAGCCATATCTGATAAATATTTTCTAATTAACACCTGTATGTTACTCTGGGTATTATTGTGAAAAGAAGATATATTGACTTTTCAGCTTTTCCATGCACTGTGTATGCAAGATCATGTTTTAACTGAGAAAGTGATTAAAACATTTCAGTATTTACTCCAAAATCAAGCATTAGTCTATTGCTTTTTTTAGCTAATAAGTTTTTGCTATTTTATTTTATATGGAGTTTATAGCAGAGCTCTGGGAGGAAGCTTAGATCCTCCCCTATGTATATATCTCTCACTTTGTGGATTTCCTGCTGCACATCTCTCTCACATCCATTTCTCCCACCCCATCCACACCCTTGTAGCAGCTCCCTGGCTCATTCCTCATGAAACTGAAGGGGGTTTCACTCAGCCTCATCCTTAAGGTCAGGGTGCCATTCTCGCAGTTCGGCAAGTTCTGCCACCCCTGACCTTTACCATGTGGTTGTCTTGTTGGTTTGTCTCCAGCTCCATAAAGCTTTTTTGTGGAGAGGTGCCTGTTGTTAATCTCAAATCTACCTGCACATGATTTCAATATGTGTCTCCTGCTCCTGGTTCTCGTGTTCAGAGCGAGGAAGTAGTTAATTTATCATTTTGGTCATAAGCATTCTGGCTGCCCTTTTACCCTTTTCCCTTTTTGCCCGGACAATCAGATGGATATAAAGAAGTCTGTATCCTTTTCCAAAAGTTGTCTCCTCTTGTTAAGCACAATCATTTGATAAATTGTGGTGTATGTTCGCATGCAAAAGCTTTCTTTTATCAACCTGGGATCCAATTTCCCCATCTTTATGGTCAATCCTCGATATGGTTCAGAAACTTGTTTTCCCTTCTGTTGCTGTGATTCAGCTCCCATTTCCAATCCCCGTTCCTAAACACAATTTCCTTAATTCTGCTTCACCTACTGAAATTTATTTTTACCCTTTAAAATTGAGCTCCAAGTCAAACCAGAACTGTGTGGTAGTAACACCTAAACGTGTGTGCATTTCTCTCTGCATCTCTGTGCACTCTGCAACTAGTTTCAGTTTCCAAACGAACATTTTCCAGTGTTCATGACAACAGCCCACGGAGAATGTGCTGTGTGATTCATGACACGTTTCATGCAGTACTCTGCTCTGACTTCCGCCCAGATCAGGACTGAGAACTGGGCTTCAGAAAAGACATGGAAATACATTTGTGACCTTCCAAGACCCTTTCTTTTGTCAGTCCTAGGCATGACTGACCTTTTGTGATATTTCAACTACTCATTACGGCAGAAGAGGATATTCTGTAGAATGGAAAAGTACTGACAAGGTCAAGGGGAATTTCAGACTGACAAAAACTGAAGGCAGAGAGCAGATCAGTCAAATGTAATGGAAGATTACCCTCTACTGTAAATATGTGTCATTTAAAAATGTAACCATTTTCACCTCTTTTCCAAGAAAAGTGATTTTTCCCAATAGAAACTGGTAGACTGAGTACATAACCTCTGCTCTTAGGCTGTAGTTAATTCCCTTACACTTTTGCCCCCTAAAACCCATGAGAAACTTAAGTTTTTGCCAAAACTGTGATTGCAGAAGTGAACTCAGATTGAACTACAAGCTTTTTTTCTCATGCTGACAGTTCAATTGCAATATTCCCATTGCGTATAGGCGAGTTCAGGAATATAAACTTCTCGACGGTGGGTTGAGTTATCCAAAAATGTGAACAGATGAAGCTCAGACACTTGAAATGAAAGGTAATGTTGAAAATAAACAGGTATTAACAGCTTCTGTACTGTAAAGGCGAAGCAGAAGTATAGCACTACACATGGAAAATACTGAATCAAGAAAGATTTGTACATTAGCCCCCAAAAAAATGTTTGCAGCCATTACTAAATATTGGTATTCATGTCAAGTACTGTATTACCAAAACTGGCAAACCTATCTTGTCCTTTAAATGCTCTTTGTATTTTTCAGGCATCAGTAAATGAAGGGAAGAATCCTTTGTGAAGGGTTATACCGTGCAGATTATGACAAAAACAACTGCAGCCAAAATCTAATTTTAAAATAAAGTTAAAGCACCCATTTTTAGTGCATAAAACCAGGAAGAAAAACAGTACATTTCAGGATTGATGTTCTCCCTGTCTGAAAACAGATGTGAAATTTATACTGTGTCACCTAATGAGAAAATATGGTTCAGACATTCCAGGACAGACAGTGGATTTCGGCCCAGTTGCAGTGATGCAGAACTGAACGGGACAAACTTGGCCCCTGCAGCTCGTTTCTTTACTCCAGTCCTGTTTGAAGCGGTTTTCCTGTTATCAACACAGGCTTGCGCAGTGGAGTAGCAAGAATCTGTACGGGACCTGTGGTCTCCACGGTTTGTGAGGCCATATCACTGCTTTCTCTCAGGCTAGGTCTAGTGGGCCCAGTTCATTCACTACTGTCATGATCGGCATGATCGGTTCTTGCACATGTAACTGACAGCTTTCTTCTTGTATCGTATCTTCAAAATACCTTACTCTGAAGCAGCTGTCAGTTACATGAGCAAGAACGTGCAATGTAAATGATACTTCCACTAGCAGCAGTTGTAGAGCAAATGCCCTCCATCAATTGTATCCTGTTTTAAATAAAAAATAACCTCATGGGCTGTGCTGTCCAGTTCTCTTCCATGTTAAGAAAGTGACTATTTGCTGGAGTTTGTGCGTCACTACCCTTGTGGACTGTGAAGATAACGATTCAACTACGCAGCTCGTTGAAATTGTCCAGATCTGCTGTGGGTAGATTACTAGTTCCATCCATCTTACCTCTGTCCTGTACGCTCTAACCAAGGGCTGTGATGGACATTAGGTACAGTACAGACATCCTGGTCGTGCTCTCAACTAAGACCCACAGACGTTCAGGCGGTTTTTGTGTACAGGTCAGCCTACCACCAGAGGGCGCCAAATAAAAAGACATTCAGATCAAGAGGAGAGCTTTATAGGAGTGCTCTCAGCCAAACTTTCCTCTGCCATGTGCACAGTACGACAGACACCTCTATTGAATGATCTTGGTTTCTTTAGACTTGTGTGTAAAAGTCGTTTTATACTAAAAAGGACCAGAAATAATGAACAAAGACCAGAAGTACGGTAAAAAAAATGCTGGCGTGTCAAACTTACCTAAAGCTTCGTTCCATAAGCTCTTGGGTGTATGGAAGAGAAATTATAGAAGCTAACAGAACTCTGTGATAAACTGCCGTAGGCCATCTATGGGTTTTGTAAATCAACACAAGTTTAAAAAAAAGGTTTACAGAGATACAGTTTTCTGTCTTGCTTGCTTTCTTTTCAAAATGTGTATTTAATTCAGCTTTTTACTGAATCAGATTGGAGAGGAATGGTGTCTCACAGCTCTGCAGACTTGGGCGTCTGTGTTTATGTGGGGTTTCACCAGAGACCTCTGTGTTTGATTGGCTGTCCTAGATGATCTTTTTCTCTGTGCTCCCATGGCGGACTGGTGTTACATCACACTCATGGGTAGGGCTGTCATGTGCTCTCTGTCTTACCTAGTACCTTGTTTGTTCAAGACAGGTTGATATTACACGATATTATGGGTTTGCTGATAATAGATGGCTGAATCGGATAAGATGTGTTATACTTTTGAATGTTTTTAAGTTTCTGTGATAGTTCAATTATGCAGTCAGGGAATAATCAAGTATCGATATGCCAGAGCCATGAAATCAAGATTATTGTCACAGCACTGCCCTGGCCAGTCAGAGAAGGTGTGGTCCTCTCGGTGTTCCAGGTGCTCAGACACATCCAGCCCTACTACTGCTGCCATGTCCTGTGTCCAGTCGATCAAAGTTCCCCTGCATAACATTCTGCCATTCTGGACACTGTTATTCCTTCAGTCCTTCTCATTTCTGAAGTCTCTTGTTGTAAAATAAATTCTGCAATTTTCAAAAACGACCCCGCCATCGCAGTCTGCTTCTAGATGAGCTAGAACCGACAGATAAAACCCAATATACATTTTAGGGGACTGAAAAATTGTCACCAGGAGGTCCTAAAGTCAGTGGCCTCTCCACTCTCCACGCTCATCATGCAGAAACTTCCCTTTTGCATTGCAATCAGATCGTGACAACCTTTCCATTTCAGAGTCTTTGTGAGCAGCAACAGAGCTCAAGCAGGCTGTGGAGTGGTCAGTTTGACACAGGGGCAACAGAGAGAAAGGGCCGTGCTGTCCAGTCATTTATATTACAAGCAGGTACATTGGTGGTTTGTTTTCAGATTCCTTGATGTTTCATCATTGTCTCCGCACCCCTGTCCAGTAGGATGACTAATTATACTTTCATTATATTAGTTTATTGTCTGCAACTTACATTTTAGCTCAGTATACAGTAAGTTACATTTTCAGGCTCTGATGCAGAACTTAACAGGTTCTGCCATAAATCAACAGACGTATCAAAGTATGATTTTTCCTTTTTCCAATTTTTAGGTTATGATGTGGAATAAAGCAAGAAATGTGATGCACACAGCTGCCTCAGCAATTTTGTGGAAAATAAATCTAAGTATACATACGAAAAGTTTCCAGTGACCAGATGTAGCCCTGATCAGTACTGGAATGTCTTTGGTTTGGTAACATATGCACAACCAGTACCAATTTGCTCATATGGCTCTTCACATTATGAAGTGTAATTTCAACACATGCAAATGGGCCTGTCCAGACACTCCTCCCAATATATTTTACAAAGGGGGTGTGTGTTGTTGATTTATTTCAGTGTTGTTTGAGGTAAACATACACACTCTTTAACTCAAACAATAAATATTTAGAAATCCTTCAGGTTGCACCCAAATTGCATTCAGAAGACAGAAAATGCACTACAGTTATGAAGGTAAGTTTTATTTTTGTTTATTTATCCAATTTTCAGACCTGACAAAAAATTATAAATTGCCCATACATTACCCCAAAAAAGCAGTTTCTTAAATAAAGTGCTGCATTTTCTTGGGACACACTGTACAAATCTTTTATACAGACATTCTCTTGTTTATTTCTGTGTTATGCTTTTGAGCTGTTAATAATGTGTTCCGTCCTTAATATAAAATTCACCAACATTTCTAATATTACCAAGCTGGAAGTGGTATGTAAACACATACTTTGTAACAAAATAAACATTTACAAAGTGCATTTTCTTACAACTTATTGGATAAGGAAAGGAATGCAAAACTCATTCTGAACATGCTGAAAAAGAAATATCTCAGCACAAAAACAATAACAGGAAAAAAACACTAGAGAAAAAAACACAAAAGTACAAATACTCATGAGGTAAAACAATGTCACCATTGTCTTTGTCTTAGAAACATGGATTGGATGGGAAACTTGACAAAACTAAGCACAGCATTATACAAGTCAAAGAAACAAATGGGAATTTTTAAAACTCCTGTCTCCCTTAACATTTATTTATTTAAAAAACAGGATCTCAGTACTACCCAAGACCACTGCGCAGGAAATGACTGCTGTGAAATATTTCAAAGAGCAAGCTGAAGGCATTGACACTCGTCCTTCTGCTCAGCTTAAGTGCCGGGTGTATTAACGGTCATGAACCTTACGGCAGCGCTGGAGATTACTGTGCTACCTGCTTTACATCATAAATACATTCACATTATTTACAAATACATTGAGCTGTTACGTTTACAACCAAGACACTTGTACTTTAGTGGACCTATTCTTACTTCACACACATTTCACAGGACTAGATTCATGAAGACAAGTGATAGTCCCCTGTAGTGAAAGCTCACCTCATTACACCGACCAGTATATGAATATAGGTTCATATGTTTTCATGTATGAATATGAATTCGATGTGGGCCTGCTGGGTCCTGGGAAATTAAACCTCTAAGGAAAGCCCAGATGCTCCTGCACTTCATGTGGACCAGTAGGTGGCACTGTTTACTCTGGACCCAAATTTCCCCAAACCAATGGTAGCAGGTGACACTTCTGGGTGAGGCACAGCCCTTGGAGTGAGATATTAAGCCAAGGTCCTGCCTAGCCATTAACAATCCCATTGCACTGGTTATCGCAGTGTAGGGTTAAAATGCAGTCTTGGTTTGCACAGTCTGGTCTCCCTAAAATCCCCCATTGACCCCACTGGTGAAACAATTTCTCTCTTCTCCACAGGACCTGCTTTGATATGCTGCGTGATCTGGGTCTTCTCCTGTATGTAAAGTGCTTTGGGATCATTTGAGATGAGAAGGGCTATACAAATGCAATCAACCTGTTGATTGATTGAGTGTGTGATTGATACATATATTCTATATTAGAATAAATAACTTGTCTCTGTTGTGGTGTACGATCAAGAATGATGTCTGCATTTCTACTGCAGGTCTGTAATATTTTGAAAAGTTAAACTGTGTAGTAGGTTGATAACAATGTTCAGAAAACACGACAGAAAAAGATCTCAGGTGCTGCATTTTGTTCTAACAGGCCAAAATCAACTTTTTGTTCCAATTTTGCATGGTTTCCAAGTCATCTTAAGCCAAACAAGCAAAATAATAAATTTTAAAAACGTTAACATTTCACATTAAAAAAAATATTCTCTTAGAGCCAAAGACTGTGCATCACAGTCAATGTCAATGTGCATCAGTGCAAAGATGACATAAATCGTACTCTTCATTCTCTTCCTTCACGCCAGCTTGTACAGATTGTGTTTTGTTTCGGGAGGGGTCTCCGAGTCCCTTTTCACAAGGTGTGTGTGGAAACTATTTTTTTTTAACCTACTTAAAAGTCTGTGGTTGACACCACA